AGATAGATAGATAGATAGATAGATAGATAGATAGATAGATAGATAGATAGATAGACAGATAAAGAGAGAGAGAGAAATGGGGGGAGGGGGGTAATCTACTGAAGCGCAAGAACATTCGAGGTATTCACGAAATAGTTATAGATCTATTAAGTAAATTAGTTTTATGATATCAAACAGAAACTTAAATTGCATCAAAATTTGTCCTTAAAAGACCCCTTTACATTAATATTTTATTTTTAATGGACGACTTAGAGAAAGACGTCATCGGCAGTATAGCGCTAAAGCCAAGCTACCAGATCCGTAATTGCGAAATCGCGGGTTCGGAGGATAGAGACTTCGCTCTGTCTAATGTTGTGTTCCTGGGAAAGTCACGCCATTCAAATTTGCTATTTGGCTCCGTCCCATCGGAGATAGTCGTTAACTTGTGAGGTTTCCCCTCTTTATCTAAAAATGTCGCAAGGAAGGTTAAACCTATACCATTAAAATTCACACTTTGTTTTTTTTCCCTTTTAATTTCTTTTTTGTTTTTTTAGAAGGGGTGCTTTAGTACGTGATATTGACGCCAGTCTTGAAAGTATGGTTCGTACAACAGATTACTATTTCAGTTCAGATAAGTGTAATACTTTTCATTTCTGTCAGTTCATCAACTCTTAGAAGTCTGTACACGCCATCTGACTAGACCCTACTTTATCTTTTTAATTCATAATTTTGTTGGTCAAATTAACAAATTAATCATGGATATATGCTTGACTGTACTACAACTGAATATAAGATTCAACTTTACTGTATTTTCATATATCAAGACTTCATTATTTTCATAACATTTGGGGTGTATTACCAGCTTGAAGTTTGAAATGGGATTTCGTTTTAAAGGAAACGCTATCGTATGCTAGTTTTAAGAGAAATTGCTGCAACAAAACAGAGAATAGGCTTACGACTTCATCACCTTAGAATTACAAAGATCCATCAGATACTTTTAGCTGTTTTGAGTAACTAAAAATATATAAAACCACGATGTCAGAAACCAATTGTTCTATCCGCCCTATCAAAATTGTATGATTTTTCAGAGTCGTTATCTATATATTCAAAGAATTACTGTCGAAAAATCTTGACATGTTGTGAAACTCAATTTTTAAGTCAAATTTCTCAACATTCAGTACTGAACAGATAGTACTTTGTAGTTTTAAGGTAGCGACTTGTAAGGGTTAAATCTCCGCCGGCGCACGGGGTGTAATGAAGACAGACTGCGATTTCAGAGTGGTGACTTTTAAAGGAGTATACTTTCTGTATGCCTGCTGATATCCCGGTGACCCAAGGTTGGTACTGGGGGGTAGGATCAAAATAATATTGATATTTGAGAAAAGAGAAGCGCGTTGAGACATTAGCATTCATTTAATAACATGGGAAAAATGAGACATAAAGATAGAAACAGCGGAGCGACAGAGAAATTGTATGGACCTACCTGTCCGTTTGTTTGTCTGAGTAAAGAGTGGCATATCGACAAAATAATGGCTAATTTGTGCTGGAAACAAGTAAAACATAAAGACAGAAATAACAGAGGGAAAGTAGAGAAGTAGGACTTACCAGTGGCCCCCGTTCAACCACCCAAAGGATAAAAAATTAATGATCTCTTCTCCTATAAGACCTAAATTGAGTTGATCGAGGCGTAAAAATCATACAAATACAATATATTTATCATAAAGCCTTCGGCCATCCAAGAGCTCCAGTTTCACTCACTTTCGCCGACTCTGCGTCCACTAACGGTGTCCAGTTATGTTCCTGGGGCTGTGACATAATTCTCCGCGCGAAGGCGTTGACCACGGCGAACTCAATGAGAGAGGCAAAGACAAAGGCCAGGCAAGTGGCCATCCACACGTCTATAGCCTTGATGTAGGACACCTGGGGAGGACGAAGGTCAGCAGAGTAAGGGCTTTGTTACTTTTGTTTTAGGAAGAGTTTTACGGCACTTGCAACACATATTCGCCATGTAAGTGCCAAAGATTAACGGTGCTGCTACACGAGAGTAATATACAAAAAAAGGAGGAGGAGAAATGAGGAAGATAGATGTTTGATAAGGAAGAGGGAGCAAACTACAACAGCTCCACCGTCAACGGTCCACTGAGTGAAGATGTTATGTTGTGCTGATGTCTTGTATTTATGGAGTAGTGGCTGATTAGACAAAGAGGACATCTCTGTGGTTTACCTAAGTTTATCTTTAGACAGTGCTCGTAAACCATTTTACAACCAGCGCCCCATTCTACCACATTTTACGTAGCCATTTTCGTGCCGCCAACCAACATAAATATATTTCCAAGCGGACTTTGTCCTATCACTACCCAGGTGATCCCCATCGCCCACCAAAATTACCAAATCTCCCAACAGTGAACGATATCACCCTGGGTGGCAAGGACTGTCATTTAAAAGATAAAACACCAGCACTTATCCGTCTGTGGCTTACCCTGGGGCGCATTATAACAAACCAGGGAGACGACGATTTTAAAAAAATCGCACTGGCGCCCGTCTCTCTCTCTCT